TTTGCTAATTCAGGGAGTTAGACAAAATTAGACTTTGGAAAGTCAAGGACTATTTCTGTTTCCATATTTGAGCTGATACAAATTCGGAAAAGACACTTTTCCTACGGGAAACGCTACCGAAATTCTCTTAGTTAGACTATGTTTTGACAGGTGGCGATTCTAGCGATCCACTCCGTATAGGGGAGATTATGCAAGAGTCTACCTTTGCTCTGGGCACTGCTTAGCGGAAGATTCAGGCTTAGCCACTAAGGAGGGTTTGGGTGAGATCGTGATATGGGGTTTATTCCCCATGGACTTATAGGCGTAGCCTGGGGATTGGTTTGTCTTGTGGTACAGGTCCTCTGGACCGTTTGATTCAGGATTTGGACCAATTTCAGCTTGATCCTACAAGGATCATTTTCTTTTATCACTGATAACAGGTCGGTTGCCGATTCGTCGGTCTACGACTCAATTCCAACTCGCTCTCCATACCCAACCTAAAAGGCTTTAGCCCTGGTGACTTTATTGTTTGTTAAGGGTTTCACCCGGACTTTTATTGAATGGTCATTTGACAAAGGTACTGAGTATTTAATTATGGTTGGTTGGACAGGAGACTGGGGCTTGCATGGCTAAGGCAAAGGGTATGAGTACGGAGATTGGTTGGGGTTGACTCCGTGTAGTGTGTGGTTTGTCGTTCGATTCTGGATGTGATTGCAGGTATGTCATGTGGCTCGGATTTTGGATTTGGATTGCCTGCGATCCCATATATATACATATGGTTGTGAGGCGTCCCACTGTGTCTGTGAGAAGTGATCGTCGCAACTTTATCTCCCCTTATGCGTGTATGTTTGGGTGAACTTATGCTGGGTGGTCGCGAGGCCTAAAAGGGCCCCATGTTAAAAGCCTGCTTAGAGGTTAAAGACTTGGAGGTATATGGAAGACCTTCTTTTTTGCTTCTTTGCTTATTGGGGGTTTTCTTGGTCGGACGATAGTCCTAGGCCGGGACTCAAGGTCCTTGTCCAGGGCATCCCAAGCCTTAGACTCTGCAGGGGAGGGGCTTCCCCTCGCGCAGAGCCTACCTGCCCTACCCGTCGAGACACCCAACCCTGAAGGCGGGAATGTCGCGAGGGTCGAACGGCATGTCCTTCAGCCGTTCAATATCGAGAGGGGTGACCCCTCACGATATTTCCTTCAGCCATTCAATATCGCGAGGCTGGAGCTGCGATTACCACGTATGACTGGCATCGTTGGTTTGTATGGGACTGACCTGCAACCGCGCAACTTTATAATAGAATCGCACGTGCAACGCTCCCCGCCCTAGCGTTTAAAAGTTATGGGATCAAAGGGGCGCACACATTGCACGAACGCTTGGGATTATTGTAGGCCGCTGACACCACCCGAAAAGGGGAGGGTACCCCAGGGTTAGGTTTCTTTTGGAATAAGAGGGGCCCTCGCCCTACTTTTGCTTTTTTTTTGAGATTTTTATGGTTGGACGTTATAGTCCGTGGCAGCCGTCAAAGTCAAACCCCTTGACTTCCGCCCACGCCCGGAGTAGGACTTATCCCCAGGAACGTGAGGAACGACTGCCACCACAGGTATGGACCTGTGTACCACCCACTTTGCACAGAGTGCAGAAGAGGGTGTGTGGTCTTCAACCGCGCATGGCAGTTATCCAGCGTCGAGAGATTAACCCTTAAGGCGCGTGTCAGCTGACACTTCAGTGTCGAACGCAACCCTCGAAATTACCGGGGGCCGCGCGAGTATGGGTACTACATGGTACGCCATTATTGCGACTGCGTGCGTACGTTTGCATTATTAGTCGATATGAGTAGGCCCTGCGTCCGCGCGGTTTTATACTAAGTCTCGCGCACGACGCCCATTTGGTTTTCGCATCGAAAGGTTATGGGTTGGCTACCGAGGGGCTAAGAGTGTTATCGCGTTGTTTGTGTTCGTAAAGTGGTGTGCGGTGCCGGATCGATGCGCTCGGCACCACGCTCACACAGTAGACAATTTGGAATACTTTTAGTTGACCCACACGTGGCTGAGTGACAAAAACGAAAAATGTGTCGAATCGACGCGATGATTATTTTCTAATTCAAATTATTTTTTTTAAATATAATAATATTATTCCTGGAAAGAACACTACCTCATTTATGGATTTTCAAAATTTTAGATTTTTCTGCGGGTTCGTCGGAGCACAGAAAATCGAGAAAGTTGCCTCTTGCAAAACGCCTGTTTCGCACACGCGGTTATCGGGTAGCTGAAAATTCAGGAATGAAAATTTGGAAGTGAGAGTTTTTGGCAGTCTGAAAATGTTGAATGGTCCTGAAGTGGTGAAAGGTCCGAAGACCCTGAAAACCACCTGTTTAGGCAGGCTGCGTCCTAAAGTGGTGAAGGGTGTCCTGAAGTGGTGAACGGTCCGAAGACCTTGAAAACCACTCGTTTAGGCAGGTTGCATCCTGAAGTAGTGAAGGGTGTCCTGAAGCGGTGATGAAAAATACGACTGTTGTTAACCTTCTCTCCTGTTTCGTTGTCCCTGACTTCCATGTTTTGAGAAGACGGGCCTGAACGCCCGGGCCTGAGGAGGACCGGTCCAACGTCCCTCACTTCGTTTTGGGGTCCACTTTCACCCGATGAGCGATCTTTCAATTTTCTAGAAGTCCTAGTTCTACCAGAGCTAACTGTAGGTAGTCTGCAATTTTGCTAAGGACTGGTCCCCTAAATTTTTTTTGCCCCCTAAGAACTCACTTTGCATCCTGGTGGCCCGCTGCCAAAAATGCGACACCTTTACACAGATGTCGAAGCCCACTATACCGCAGCCTTAGGGCTGCGAACAAAGTGGGTTCTTAGGGGGCAATAAAAATTGGGGGACGGTCCTTAGCAAAATTGCAGACTACCTACAACTAGCTTGGGAAGAACCAGGACTTTTAAAAAAGGGGAGGACCGGTCCTTGGATGGAAGTGGACCCCAAAAAGAAGTGGGGGCGTTGGACCAGTGCTCAGAAGGAAGCGGACCCCAAAAAGAAGTGAGGGCATGTGAATTGCAAAAGGACCATCAAGCCCAGCCGTTGAGGCCCGTTTTCTCAAATTAGGGAGGTCAGGCGCAACGAAATATGCGTTTTGCAAGAGGCAACTTTAGTGATTTTTTGTGTTTGGAAGAACCCGCAGAAAAATATGAAATTTCGAGAATCCATAGATGCAGTGGTTTTCTTTCCAGGAAAAATATTCGCACATTTTCAAAAAATCGTTTCGATTGTGAAATAATCGTTGTACCGATAGGGCACATTTTCTATTTTTGTCACTCATCCATATGTGGACCAACTAAAAAAATACTCAAAATTCAGTGAGTTTTCACGCTCAAAAGAATGCGTGAAAAAAACTGAAAACTGGAGTACTCGTAAATTTTGTTGTGATCTTTCCAAAAAAAACGTTAAATAAATTTTAAAAAATCATTCCAATTGTGAAAATAGATCGTTGCCACAATTTGACCCGTCTTTCAATTTTGCCATTCAGTCTCTCTCTCTCTCTCTCTCTCTCTCTCTCTCTCTCTCTCTCTCTCTCTCTCTCTCTCTCTCTCTTGCGCGCGCACCCTTAATCCCATCGCTTTGGTTACCTTAGGGCTACGTTCCCCGCGCCCATGCGGTAGTCAATGTGTGTGTGTGTGTGTGTGTGTGTGTGTGTGTGTGTGTGTGTGTGTGTGTGTGTGTTTGTGTGTGTGTGTGTGTGTGAGAGAGAGAGAGAGAGAGAAAGAGAGAGATAAATGTAAGTTGGTGCGCAGACAACGGGCAGATGTGTTTGAATCCGGCGCTGATTAACTCCAGATCTAGGCACATCTACTTTAAGTGTCGTCTCGACCTGCATCGAGGAACACTTTCTGGACCACGGGCAGCTGCCCTTTCCTGCGCGCTTCTGACTTCTCCTCTTCCCTGACTTGGTGCCCCTTCCCCCACGCTGTTTCCATTTTAAAATTTACAACTGAAGGACTGCTCAAGGATTGCAGCCTCCTGAGGGCAGTTACTGGGCCCCACATGCACCCGTTCACAACTACCTGGGCCACGGGCTTGACTTATCCAATTGACTTACCGTGAGGGCACGGGTGCGCAACCCGTAGTTTATCTATGCTTGCTTGATAAAGGACGCCTTATTGGTGAGGTTTAGAAGTAGGGTGATTGTTGCATTAAAAAAAATGAGTATTCGTGTGTATGTGTTGAGATTAGTGTGTGTGTGTTTGTGTGATATGTACGTTGTTTGTGTTTATCAGATCTGTTAGTGTTGGAACGTGTGGGATTTAGGTAATTTGTATGACATTAGTGTATTAGATATTTGACATTCCTTGATTCATAGTTCGTGTCGAGGCTGGTGGTCCTTGAATCTTGGTCCATATGTCGTATATGGGCGTCGTTCGACACTCCTCAGCGCGTCCTCGGGCTCCGAGGACGAATCCTCGGAGTTCTTTTTTTTTTTTTTGAGGTGTCGTTCCACCTGTCCTCGGAGAATCGCCCCGAGGACGAATCCTCGGGGCCCTCCCACGGCCAGTTTCATTAGATTATACACGACCGCGAGGGGTTTGTGCGACCTCCGATTCGGGATGTCCGTGTAGGAGGCGTGGCGGTCCAGCAGGCGAACGACGGCAATACGTCACGGGCCCTCGAAAAGAAAATCGCGAACGCGGGAACGGCCCCGTTCAAAATTCGAAATTCGAATTTGCGTCTTGTGGAGCGACGGTGTGGCGGCGCGCAGGAGGGTAGGCGAGAGGGAAAGTGCACGCCTCGTAGGGTTTCGGTTGCCATCGCGTTGCGTACTTTAGCAGCGTCGCACCGCCACTGTCTCAAGTGTGGTCGACGTGGCGAAACGAAGAGGGGTATCGGCAGTTGAGCTCGACACGTGGAGGCGCTCGGCGGTTCTGTACTTCAGCGGCGGTGGGCGGACGCTCCAATCGGGTTGGAACATCATTGAGCACGGTTGTCTTCCTGACTTGATTACAAGCGTCTTCAATCGTGGTGGCAGACGTAGACGCAGCTGGGTGGAGGTGGACGTTGTTTTTCGTGTTGGAAGGGCGTAATGGAGGGCTGAGATGGGGATGGTCGTGTTGTGTTGTCGAGGACAGAGAGGTAGCTGTCACGGCGGCTGCGGTTGCCGTTGTTCGTCGATTCCAAGTCGAGAGGGCGGCTGGGCGCATGAAGGCAACGCTTTTGAGGCGGCGGCAGAGGCTTCTGCTGCAGAGGGTGTTGGACGCCCCGGACTGCATTACCACTTCGGAGGTCGTGGTTCAGCTGTGGGCTGCAATCGGGTGCGGTGTGCTTCCTCGAGTGACGCCACGTTGGTGGATGAGACGGAGAGCTGGCGGGACTTGGGAGGATTTGCGGGTGTGCGATGACGCGACAGACGACTACTTCCGGGAAAAACTCCGCATGTCTAGGAGAGTGTTCATGGAGATCACCGAAGCCTATGCGGCTCATTTGCAATGACAGGTGACATTTTACAGGGAGCCACTTCAGCCGGAGCAGATCGTCGTGTACACGTTGTACAGGTGGGCTAAAGGAGAGTCGTACGACAACAACACATCACCCTTTGGCATGGGCAGGGCTTCCAGAGTTCGAGCCGTGCGCAATGTGACAACCGCTATGTTGAGGGTGTACGGGGACAAGATATCGTGGCCGACAGGGGTGTGGAAACACATCGTGCTACTGGCGTTTCTAGACAAGGGTTTTCCCAACTGCCATGGCGCAGTTGACTTCATACACATCTACGTGGACAAACCTGCGAACACGCCGAGCGAGAACTACTTCGACCATAAGCACCGTTTCTCTGTTATTGTGCAGGTGGTGGTGGACCTGGATCTGCGCGTGCTTGACATGTTCGTTGGATATTCGGGGAACTTCCACGACATTAGGGTGATCCAGTTGTCAAGTCTGTCCGGGCGAGCGGAAGAGGGAATGTTGTTTCGTGGGCCGCCTGTCACGCTGCCGGGAGGGGTGAGGACGAACGGATACATTATGGGCGACAACGGGTATCCTCCTTCTGAATGGGTGGTGGTTCCATATAGAGGAATCAATCAGCACCTAGACGAGGAAAGGTTCGACACGAAGCAGAAGGTCGCAAGAGGGGCTGTGGAGAGGACGTTCGGGAGGTTGAAGGGGATGTGGAGGCTCTTCATGCGGACGAACAAGACGAACCTCGATACTCTACCGCAGCAGTGCATTCTCCACAACATCCTGCTTGACACTGGTATCGAGTTTGACGAGAATCAATTATGGGAGGTCGATGAGAATGGGGTGAGGCGTCGACTGGACCTAGGGATTCATCATCCCCCGCAGCTGGTGACGATGTTGACTTCGACACACGCGGCACACATGCTCCACAATGCGTTGGCGGAACGAATGAAACACATGTAATCCTGCCTACAGCCTGCCTATTTTTCTCGTAGAAGACTTCTTCGTTGACGTCGTGTTCGGCTGTCGTCGATTCACAGCGCTCGCGTTTTTCGCTTACGCGCGCAATTGCTTCGGAGGGTTTGCCGTTGCGGACGGGTTGTTTTTAGGTGTTTGTTTTAACTTTGTTGTTGTAGTCGACAGTAGACTGCTTGTCTAGTTCGTCGATCATTGGCAGTGACGCGGCTTCATTCTCGTTGTAGTCGACGCAACGGTAGTGTGGTTGTTGTTTCGGTCTTCCTTGTTGCTGTAGTGGGGGGGGGGGGGGGGGGGG